AGTCTTACCCAGAAATTCCACTTTTAGGTCTCTATACTACAGAAAATTATTATTTGCATGACTACTTAAAGATGTATGTAGAAGGCTGTTTACTCCAGTATTATTTGTTAATGAAAAAATTGAGGATAGTAGGATGGACTGGGGGTGAGTCACGGGGAGAAAGGTGGGACAACTATAACTGAACAATAAATAAAAAATGAGGACAACTTTCCATAGATAAGGAACAATTAAAATATTTTTTTAAAGATTTTACTTATTACATTTTAGAGAGGGAAGGGAGGGAGAAAGAGAGAGAGAGAGAAACATCAATGTGTGGTTGCTGGGGTCATGGCCTGCAACCCAGGCATGTACCCTGACTGGGAATTGAACCTGTGACCATTTGGTTCACAGCCCGCACTCAATCCACTGAGCTACGCCAACCAGGACTAAAATATTTTATATTAGAGCCACATAATAACATACCAAGCAGCCAGTGAAAAGAACAGAATTAAGCTGGAAGATGAATTAAGTGGAATTTAAACTTTAGATGATGAGCTGTGAGCTGCTACATTAACTAAAAAAATACAATTTAAATAACATATGATCATGACTATATACATATATATATAGAGAGAGAGAGAGAGAGAGAAAGGATACACATATATTTGCATATGTGTATAGTTTCATACTCAGAATGAAATCATGGATAATTTTTACTTTAAATTTTTTTCTAATCAAAAATGTAATTTATTTTATTAACTAAACCCATACCTCAAATTCATCAGCAAATGACAGAAAAAAATGAGATATTTTTAAGTGAAATAAAGATGATATAACAATTATTAGAACTTGCAAGATCCTAAACAATCCATTTGTGGAAATGTCTCATAACATAATTTTATAAATTCCCTACTTGCAAATATTTTACAATAATACTTTAAAGATTGTATTTTCCCAAACAGCAGGAGGACCTAATTTACCTGTACTGATAGTAACAGGAGAAACTTCATAAATTAGGAAGTAGGATTTGAAAAGTGTGAACAAATCAATTAAAATGTTATTTCACTAACAAAACTCCTCTTCTTCAGAATGTGTTTGGCTTGTATAACATGTGCATTCTAATAAAAAACAGTTTATAAAAGGAGAATAACACTGTATTTAGCTATGAATAAGAACAATGTAAAGAAAAATGATTTTTATGAGGAATTTTCTTCTTGTTCTAATTAAGTGGACAATTTCTATCTGAACTTATTCTACTCCTTGGTAGTCTTTTTTTAGATATGTACATGCTGTCTTGACCTCAGAATGAAAAGTAAATTCTCTACATGAAGAGTAAAAATGGAATCACTTTACATTGTTTGCATAATGTTCAAAATCCGCCTCCTTCCTTTTGTTTTCCTTCATCATTAAACTTCTCATATTACCTTGTCTTAACTTCCTTATCTCTCTTTATTCAGTTCACTGCAATTTGATTACCAATATCCAACTCTGCCCTTCAAGGATGGACAATACGTGACCCCAAACCAAGTGGTCAGAAAAAGGTCACTGGTGACAGAGCGGCTAAGTTTGGCACAGGGAAGCCAAAGGGATGAGTATGGAAGAAAAATTGAGGTCCAGACCTTGGGGAAGGGGCGGACTTCAGAGCCATGAGAATAAGAAAAAAAGAGGAGAAGCAAATAAGGATAAGGTTAGGTGGGGCTGGAGTCTGGAGGAAAGAATAGGGTTAGGGTAGACAACCACCCTCCCTCTCGCCCAAAGTTCACCTGACTTCTCTTTAATAGATATAGAATGATTCAAGTTATTAATATATCTTAAATGAGTTCTGGTAGTTTGTGTTTTTCAAGGATATTGCCCATTTTATCTGAACAGTTTAATTTATACAGTTGTAGTATTCCATTATCCTTTTAAAAGTCTGTAAAATCTGTAATGATATCACCTTTTCTATTCCTGGTATTGGTGATTTGTCTTCTTCTTCTTCTTCTTCTTCTTTTTTTTTTTTTGGTCAGTATGGCTAGAAGCTCATCAATTTTATTCATCTCATCTGTGTCTTTTTAAATTTTCAAATTCAATAGCATCTTTTCTGTACTCAAATTATTTGATTTCACTGCATTGTTCATGACTTTAAGTCTTTGACCTCTGCAATACTCCTCTCCTTGTTTTCTTTCTCATTATCATTAGCAGCTCATTTTCATCTTTCAATATTCTGCCCTTTTTCATTTTAAAATCTCTTCCTCAAATAGATAGTCTCCTTTATTATGATCTCCTCACTCATGAGAGCACCTGTATTTCCAACTCTCTCCTGTCCATCTAATGCTATGATTTCTACTTTCAGCTAATGAATCCATCAGCTCCCCCAAATCCTGAGTCATCATTAACTCATTTTTATCCTTGAACTTATCCATCTAAACTGCACTTTCCATGATCAACTCCCCTACCTGCATCTCTCTGACTTGTCACTGCCTAAATTCCAGCCAGTACCATTTCTTGGCAGACTCTTCTGTGCTCCTACCCTATAAGCCACTGACCACATGAAAATCAGTTACCTTTTAACATACAGCATATATCATGCCCTTCAACTTCAGTGCTCCCTGCTGGCTCCAAGATAAAGCCTTCTCATTGCAGTTCTTTTGCTATCCAGGATCTTCTCTTCCTCCTCATACTTTGAACAGTAGCCGCACCTGCCTACCTACCACCTGGTAATAGACCAGGTGCTTTCCTGTCTCCATGCCTTTGCTCATTCTGTCACTCAGACTAAACTCTGATTTATCCTTCCTGACCAGATTCAGAGGCTACTTTCTCTGTGGTACCTTTTTTTCTTTTAAATTATTTTTTAATTGAGGTATAATAACATATACTAAAATGCATAGATATTAAGAATGTAGTTTGATGACTTTTGACAACTCCTTATACTGCAATCAGTATACAGAACATTGCCACCACCCCAGAATTACATAGTGCCTCTCCCAGTCTCACTCTTCCCCCAAACCAGAGGCAACCACTGATCTGATTTCTATTTCTACAGATTAGTTTTACCTGTTTTATATATCGTAAAAGTAGAATCAACAGTATATGGCATTTGTTTCCATGTTTGCCTTCTTTCATTCAGCATAAACTTTCTGAGACTGATCCATGCTATTATTGTATAATACGTACTTCATTCCATTTCATTGCTGACTAATACCTATTGTATGGTGTGCCATAAGTTATACATGTAAACATTTACCTGTTGATGGACATTTAGACTTTTGTGTTTTGGGGGCAGGGGAGAAGGGATTGTATGAAGCTGTCTTCATCCATCTCTGTTTTACCCTCTTCCAAGCTATAAGATTGCTCTTCCAAGCAATGTTAATACATAGCATTACAGTTTATTCCAGCTAGTTCTCTATCCCCCATATAACTATAATAAAAATAATGATATTTAATTTTCTTAAGCATTTACATGGGACTAGAAGTGTACTAAGTACTTGACTTTCATCAGCTTATCCAGTCACTGCAACAATCCCACACAGATGACAACATGCTTATACTCACTATGGAAATGGAGGCCTACAGAGGCCAGTTCCTTTTTTAAGTGAACCCATCGGGTTAGTAGCAGAACCAAGATCAGAATCTATATCTACCTCATGGTATTATTACAAATTCTTAACAATTATTCTGGAATATTACATGGTAAATAGTAGGCTCTCAAGTTTTTAAAATTTTAATTCGATACTATCTAAAGAAATTCAGCACTTATCAAATGTGGCAACCATTGACTCAAAAAGATATAATTTATTCTTCAGTGACAGTAACCAGAGGGGGAGGGAGGTAACAGGGAAAAGAAGGGAAAGGGTTGTCAAGGAACATGTATAAAGGACCCATGGACAAAGCCAAAGGAGGGTAGTAGGATTGAGGGTGGGAGGTGGATAGGGTGGGGAAAAGTGACAGTGGGAAAATGGAGACAACTATATTTGAACAACAATAAAAAAACTGATAAAAAAGAAACCCAAGAAACTACTCTTGTGAAATGGTTTCCTACACATTCTTATTTCAAAACAGCCATTCTATTTTGCTCACAATTTTGTGAGTCAAAAATCTGGGGGGACTCAGCTGGACAGTTCTTGCTTGGGGTCTCACATGTAACTACAGTCAGATGTTGATTGGACTGCAGAAAGAGGGGGACTCTCCTTGCTGGATGTCTTTGCTGGCTTATTCACATGGCTGTCAGCCAATGCTGTCAGTTAAGAGCCCTGTTGGGGCTATTGACCCCAGTACCAACATGTGACCTCTCCAGCCTGGTAGTCTCAAGAAAGTCTGACTTCTTTCCCTCATTTCCTCTAGAACGAGAGTTCCAAGAGAACTCCCAAGAGAACCAGCCTCAGATATTACAGAGCAGCCCTTCCACCATGCTATATGGGTTGAAAAAGTCACAATGTGGCCAGATAAAGATGGATGTAGACCCCACCTCTTGTTCAGAAGAGTGGTAAGGCCACACTGTAGGAGAGTTTGCAGGATGGAAGATGGTGTTGCAGCCATCTTTGGAAAACAGACTCTGGCAAAGCCATCTCCTTAAGATTGCTGAACTTAGGGGCATGTTATGTGGGACATTGATGGTAAAGACTTTTGACTTGGAAAACTCCTCTTTGGGGTCAATAGAACCCTCATCCCCTGAATGTCAGAAAATAAGTGGGCTTTACTAGGAAAACTAAATAGGCAGATTCATCTTTAAGCTTGTTTTATCTTAAAAAGCTATTTACCTCAGTGTGAGACCAAGGACTGTGTTTTAAGAAACCCGTAAGTAGTAAATGTACAACTTTGCCAGCCACATATCACCAAATGAGTTCCATTAGATATTTAGTCCCATAAATTATGTCATCAAGAGCAACTTTAAGTATCTTCAAATGAAGTAATACTTATGGGTATTATAAAACAATTTAATCCAAGCTATAACCACTTCCAGTGAAGTTTTCAATTTAAAAACTCTGCATAAAGTAACTGTCGGGGTAAAACTTAGGTAACAAAAGGCACTGCTCAGAACTTACCTGGCTTTGCGAATGTGCAGTTGAGGGTAATGACTGTGCCTGTGACATATATACACAGCAAAGTCCTCATCATATGTCAGACTTGGAATGTTCCCCACTTGGTCAAACACAGTTATAAGAGTTGAGCCTAAATCACAGAGACAAAGTAATATGGCCTCATTTTACCAAGGAATAACTCTAGAACTTCAGAACAAAATGTAGTTTCCACTCTAAATTGTGTTTTATTGTTATAATCAGATAGGCACATTATATATTTTGGACCTGCAGACCATTCTTATTTCCCATTCACCAAAGCAACATTTTGAACATGAATTTCCTACATTACCAACTAGGGACTAGAGGCAGTTAGCAGACCTTACCTAGGCTCATGTAGGATGGCACTATGAGAAAGATGAAGTGCAGTTCTGGCACTGCCTTGAACACAGTCCTGCCAGGGGAAAGAGAAGGCGGGATGAATGTTAACAATGAAACAACCCCATTAGCTGACACCTGATTGAGACAAATGAGGTGTTCATATACCACTTGCCCTCCCTGCTCCCTGCCTGCCGAGACAAGAACATCTTCAAGGAAATTTCTTTTTCTTCTCTCCTTTTCCTTGGATTACAAACAGCCCTTTTCCTATCTGTTCCACAGAGGTAGAAAGAATAGAGGGTGCCATGTTCATGCAGCACACCAGATTTCTGCTAATATTAACCTTTGACCTGGCATCTGGATAGTCTGGTGTGACATTTCAAGAGTGACTTGAAAGCTGAGGCCACCACCCCCAAATGTCTTTGCAGGCTGTCAGAGATGCATCACCATCACCCAGTAGTTCTGTTGATCATATTTCAGTGTGTCGTACTATTCAAGATGCTTCTGCAGTCTATCATGTTAATAAACATGCATAAAGACCAAGGCAAACCATTTTTCAAAACATCCAAACTTGTGACTTTTCCCCACCCCCCCCCCAAATCCATGTTGTTAAATGGCTGAACTACTGTTTGCTTTAAACAATAGCAGTTAAAAATGTACACTGAAGGGAGCATCAGTTCAAAGAATAGATCATTTTCTTTCAGAAATATCACTGCTATTCCATAAGTTCTTAATACAGCCATAAATTACAAGTAAATTTAACACCTCAAAGAATTTCAGGTCCTTTAAAAACATTTTAAAACTGCAGGCCCTCTGTATCCCCAGGTTCTACATCCACAGATTCAATCAACCACAGATCAAAAATATTTTTGATATTTCATGAAAATGAAATATTTTATGAAAAAATGAAATATTTTTCCTTTTTATTTCTTAAAATAAATTTTAAAAAATTTTATTCACTGCTTTTAGAGAGAGAGACAGAGAGACAGGAGAAACATCTCTTTGTTGTTCCATTTATTTATGTGTTCATTGGTTGATTCTTATATACGCCCTGGCTGGGAATTTAACATGCAGCCTCAGCATATCAAGACAATACTCTAACTATGCTACCCAGCCAGGGCCTCAAAAATATTTTTAAAAAAATGTTACTTCCTGCTGATGTCCTTAGGCCTACTAAGACTACATCTGAACTGAATATGTACAGACTTTTGTTCTTGTCATTATTCCCTAAACGATATAGTATATCAACTCATCACATAACATTTCCATTGTATTAGGTATTATAAGTAATCTAGAGATGATTTAAAGTACACAGGAGGATGTGCATAGATTATATGCAAATACTATGCCATTTTATATAAGGGACTTAGACATTAGACACAGCAGATTTTGGTATCCTCAGGGCTTCTAGAACCAATTCCCCTTACATACTGAGGAATTACTATATCCATATGGTCTCTTTCATGTCATTTTGGCATTAATGTGTCTTGTCTATGGTGCTGCTGCCAGTCCCCCAAGTCACTGTCTACAAGGTTCAGCCACTTACCGAATAATTTCTTTGCAGCAGCCAACAGAATACTCATCCACAGCCACAAAGAGGTGCATGAACAATGTGTTCAGAGGCTGCAGAAGAAAAGAGAACATAACTACAGGCTGAGTGAGCATTCTGGCTATGCTAGAGCAGGGTGGGTGGAAGGTGAGAGGTAAGAGGACGGTTTGGGGCAGTCACAGACATAGATCTGCACTGTGTTTGTGGATGACACTTTATAGTGATGAGACACCCAGGCAGTGTTCGAGATTTGTCCCAGACTCTGTTCACAATCTTCTGTCCTCTTAGCTCAGCATTATTCAAGGTAACAGGGATTGTAAATGATTCCAGTGGAACTGGCTCTTCTTCCTGTCCTCACAAATAGGCTGTGGGCTGGAAAGTGCCTGCAGGGGCGTGAGATCAATTAACTCAGTAGTCTTAACCTTGAGGGTGTCTACACCAAGTGACAGACAATCACCCCCTCCCAGGGGCTGTTGAGTAATCAGCTGCTGCTCTATTCAAGTGATGTGAGGTAGAGTCTCATGAATTTGAAGGATGGAAGGCAGATGACACATGAATTCAATGGCTTGTTTTGTTCAACATTCCCAGAGTCAGAAATAAATACTATTCTTGGAATCCAGAAAACCTGGAAGCTAAAAACCCAAAGTAGCAAGATTCTAACATTGCTTTCACATTAAATCTTTCAAGTTTTTAAAGAGCTTTGTCTTGTAACTTCTGGAGTCTTCTTAAATGGCCTAAATAATGAGCAGTTGTTATATACAAGGTCTGTCCATAAGGTATCCAGCCATGTGAAAAATAAAGATACTTATTAAAGAAGTTACAAGATAGGAGAAACATTGTACATAAGACAATGACATCTCAGTACCCTTCAAAGCAGGCACCTTGGGACCTCACACAGTTCAAATAGCCATCAGCTGCCCTGTCATATTTTCCTGAATCTCATCAATGGTCTGAAATCTCTTCCCTTTCAAAGGTGCTTTTAATTTTGGGAAAAGCTGTAAGTCACAGGGCACCAAATCTGGGCTGTTGGGGGGCTGAGCCACCTGGGTGATCTGATGTTTCACAAAAACTCTCCATGATATGTGATGCATGAGCAAACAAGTTGTTGTGATAAAGCTGCCAATCAACAGTTGCCCATAGCTATAGCCTTCTGAATCATCCGAATAGTGTCCTCAAAGGAATGTTCAAGCTTAACGCAAAATTTGATGCATATTTGTTGCTCTACTAGCTCAGTCATTTTTAATGTGACAGCTGCACAGTACACATGTTCACTCAATGGCATCTACCACCCCCACAGACTAGTACAGTGAAGTTGTCATGGTTCACTCACATGCATTCCAGTCTACTCTCCTTGGCTGCCAGGTTACATTGCGCAAACTGTTCTTGTTATATTAACAATGGCTGCACTTTTTTGAAACAGACCTCATACATCCACATATCAGGTGCACTCAACTCAGTACCCCTGTGTTTATGGAAAATCTTCAAATTGCAGAATTAATGAAATGTGGCTGACTGGTGGGGGTAGTGCTTGCACTTGGATTAGGACAACAGAAGTGCTGTGTTTCTTATTTTATGAGCAATTTTATAGATGGCCTTGGGTTACCATCTGCACATCCTGTGTCTTGGTCTCCCCTCCTGTTGGGAGGTGCATACCTCAGGAACACTCAGAAGAAGCATTTATCAGGCACAGACTGGCTTGAAAAGTATCATGCATTTGGTTCATGAGCTTGAAAATTCCCAAAAGGCAAACACCACAAACCCCAAAGTCCAGATAACAACAGCAATAACAGTGACACAAATAGAAGTACTTTCCATGTATTAAATCATCTAAATCCCACAAGAACCTTACTTAATATCTGCTTTACATTCCAAGAAGGACTATCCTTAGGAGTACATGGTTTATTACTTGTCTGATTTAGCTCCCAAATTCTCTTTTCCAACAAAAATATGATAATTCAAGATTTAGTATTTAGCTTTAAAAGATAAAAATTATTACTTCAATTGCAAATATCCCTGGAATAGGCAATGATACATTAAGTTTTAAGGCTCTGTACCAATACTCTCCAATAGAAAAATAATTTGAGCCACAAATGCAAACCACATATTATAATTTTAATTTTTGTAGTAGACATTAAAAAAGACTAAACATGAACAGGTGAAATTAATTTTTCATATTTTAACTGACATAATATATTCAATAAAGATTGTTAGAGATATTTTATATTCTTTTTTTCTACTAAGTATTTGCAATCTGATGTATATGTACTTACAGCACATCTTAATCCAGACTAGACACACTTCAAGTGCTCAATAGTTATTCTAGCTGGTGGCTGCTATACTGGACAACTGAGCTCTATACTATTGTGGGAAGTAGTTTAAAAAGAAACAATCTTAAGAGAACAAGAAAAAAACAAAGGGGAAAGGATTTATGAAAAACATCATTAATTCATAATTTTCAAAAAGGTAAAATAATGATCCTAATGCAAATATAAAATGAACACACGTCAGAGATTTATTCAATCCAGCAAATAATGAGGTGACCAATGAGATAATAAAAATGATTCATTGCACTTGAGATGCTGGCCACTTTAAGCAATTTAATAAGAGAATATTAGAAAATATTGCTGGGTATGATATAAAATGGTTAATGTCCTAATGGGCCAGTGCTGAAACCTTTGAGGTTCTCTCTTCCACCAGATAGGATTTACATCTCAAATGGATAAACACATACGAGTTAATCACTGTTTTTACAGAACTGTAAAATAGACCAATCAGCAGAATGTCAGTCAAAGGTAAAAGCATTGATTGAAAGAATCTTTCTGGACTATTTCCAAGTTTGAGATAATTTTTCTGACAATGGTAACTGGGTATATGGGGAGGTAAGGAAGAGAAGAACATAGAGGACAAGAAGAAGGCACCATCTAGTTGAATCAGTGCTGGATAATGTGCTGACTGTGCATGCACACACACATGTGAGAGGTGAACTCACTCATGCACTCAACTGATATTCCCCAGGGGTTTGGGGACATGCTATTGAATTCCACCGACAGACAAGTATGCTCCCCACAATCACAGCATCTGACTTTCCACAGAAACTGGGGCCATACAATGGCCTGGCTCTGGCAGGCCAAGGGCAGGAAGAGTTCAGATGTGGCACCAGCTACCAAGGCCCAACTCCCTGGGAACTGCTGACCCAGCCACTATTACTCTACAGGTTGTCACGTGCCTGCAACTAGAAGACATCAAATGAGCCAGAGTACACAAAGACACCTTGAAAATTATAGAGTTTGACATGAATCTGAGGCTGTTGTCATTATCACAGAGGTAAATATATAGATGACAGGTGCCCTCCCAACATATTGAAGACTTGGGATACTGAAGTTTGGTGCAGTGTGGAGACCTAGAAAGCAGATGTTCTAATGCTCTAATTCCTTACTCCCAGTCCTCATCAGCCGAGCATGACCTGCACCATGTAGCTGTCTAATCTATTATCCACCCTTTCCTATTCCCACTGACCCACTTTTCCTCCCCACCAGCTAATTTCATTTCTAACAGTCATGATGTCTATACTTTCTTTTGGGAGTTTTTAATTGCTTAGTACAAAATTGAAAAAACATATATGTAAGCACAGGACTTCCCTTCAAAATCAAGACTATTCTAATAAGCATTGTGCATGATTGCTTACTGTGCATGGGATGTCACTGTCGAGCTCCCGGAACAAAGACACCCAATCATCCTGCTTGGCCACATTCCAGTTGGGATAGTCCAGGAAGGTAGCCTGGGCCATGATTTCCTCCTTGTCATTGTAGAGAGTAATGGCAAGGTTTGCCTTCTCCCTGTGGAAATGATTAAAACTGCACACATAAATAAGATTACTGAAAGTGAGATAAGGATGTCATTTTCTCCCTGTCTGGCTACTGGAGGTCAGTAACTACTACATAAGGTATGATAACCATTGAAAGAGGTAGAAGCAATGTGAACAGCCAACTTTGGGAATAGATCTTTCAGGGCATCTGGTATATCAACTAAATTTTTACTGAAAATGATTTTTCATTAGAAAGGCATTCTACTTATTACATGAATTATCCATATGCTTGGAGATTGGGCTGAGGAAATTGTTTTGACTGTAATGTTTTCCCTCTCCTTTCCATGTTGCCAATACCACTGTGTTAGCCTAAGCATGTACAGTTAGGGTGGACAATGCCCCAGTCTGACCAGGACTGATGTGTCCAGGACATGGGACTGTCAGTGCTAAAACCAGGAAAATCCTCAGATGAGTTGGTCACCTATGTACAGGAGAAAACCTGAGAGTTTAGCTTCACCTCTGTCAGCATTCTTAACAATTTCTCCAAATCCTGCACTAATTGATTCTTATGGAATCTGAGCACTAGCAATATCACCTGATCTAGCTTCAGAAATGGAAGTCTTGAAGGGGTCTTGCTTAAGCTAAGGGAAACATGCAAATTAACAAAGACAAGGGAGGAAAAGCAGGTCTTCCAATTTTTCTAGTGGCTGTCCCAGAGGGATGTCTTGATAGTCCCTTCCAACAACTACCCTCTCATGTGGCCTGTCATGACAGCAAGAGCTATGACATAAAGACAGCATACATTTTACTACATGGAGAACAATTTGTATATAAATTGAAACACAATTTTCACATTCTCAGCTGAGTGAAATATACTGGTATCTTAAGTTGGAGAAAAAAATTTTTAATGTTCCTTTCAAAAACAAAGAAAGCAGACGTTATCCATTCTTTATTAAGGGGACTAGATGAGAAGACAGCATATAACTGAAGGAGAAGAGACAATGGAGAAAAAGGAAGTTACATATAATTTCCAGTTAAATTTTTATTGCCAAAGTATTGTATTGTCACCGCAGTCAAAAATTAGAAAGTACGTACTCACAAGCAAGAAGAGAAAAAATAATTTGAAAAATCACCCTTAATACCACCTCCCACAGATAACCAACCTCTGTCAACATTTTAGTGTCTCCCTCTCCATATTTGCCTTGTTTGGAGAGCAGCTATGCACTGAAAGGTACTTCGTGTGTTTTTTAAAATGAAATCACACAACCTATATTATTGGTAGTCTCCTTTGTTCCCCCACTTGATGACATACTATTTTCCTAGAGCTGTTCACCAAAGAGCAGCCTCTCATATACATGTACTTCTTGTTCTAATTTTTTCTCTTTAAACCAGATCACTTTAGCTTAAATAAGTATATTTTAATAGGAAATTTACATCATTATAAATGGAAAACCAGTATACCTTACTGGAAATAAAGAATAACTATAAAAATAAAGATATAACATTTAAAACAAAAATTTCTTGTGCACATACCAGAAATATGGGCATCTTTGGGAAATAGTGTGCTAGGGATGTTGATCTCAGTGCCTACAGCCAGCATCCCCTCCCATAGGAAGGCACAACCCATAGCTACAGGAGACCTCACCAAGAGTACACCCAGTCCAAGGGCCCACCTAGCCCAAGAACCCCACCAAAGCACTGGCTATCATGGAAAAAAAGGCAGCAGACTACTCTCAAGTCCCAAGAATACAGTATCCACACAAAGGACTTAACAGAAAAACACAGTCCCCCAACCTCTCCAGTTGATTCACTGAAGCCCTGCAGTGGCTCCCTCCAGCTTCTGGTCCTCTGGGCTCTCCTGCCCCAGACTCCCAGAGCCATGACCTACAGCTTCCTATTGAGAGTCCTCACTGTACTTCTGATGAGAAAATGCACAGGGCACAGGACCCCTCATGTCAGTGATGACAGTGGTGGTGTGGAGGAGGAAGTGGGCAAGTGCTGGGACAGGGCAATTGCCATTCCCTCAGGGAAGCAGGGAAATGTGTTCCTGGAATCCCAATTTGAACTTAAAATGCATTTATCCATGAGAACCTAGGATGGTGGCTGGATTCTATAGTACAATTAACATACTATTATACCACACAGACATTACAGATTAAGTAGGGTTTTGTGGGTTGGCCTGGGAAGCCAGCCATGAGTAACTTTGTTTCAATGAGAAAATACACTGCAATTTCCAAATGGCTGACTGCAAAAAGTAACTTTGGCAGCATTATCTTTTTGCATGTATCATGTCCACTTCTTATAACCCTCCTAGCCATTAGGTCCTATACAGCAGTGGTCCCCAACCTTTTTGTCACCAGGGGAAGATTGGGGGTGGGACAAGGCAGAACTCAGGTGAGCAAACTCATGCCTGGTGGTTCCTCCTGAACCTGCAGCCTGGTGGTTGGGACTCCTGCTGTATAAGGCAGATAAAAACCATTGTGAGATCAAAGAAGGAAGAGGAGGAAAAAGGTAGAAGGAGAAAGTATGTTTTTAAAGCTGGTTTAAAATTATTCTTTATAAGAAGCCAAATAGTAACCAAAGGAGTAAAGGAGCCCTCTTAAAATAAACACACACACAGGTATATATTTCACACTAAGTATGTTCAAGTTCAAAGATATTACCCACCAATAGAAATCAGAGTTGTTTTCATACAGCGATGTCTCACCTATTCAGTTGGTTTAGGGAATTTTCCAAATCCAGCCAAAACTCATTTTATTTAACAATACTTGATGGAAATCTTGGTGAAAGTATCCCATTTTCTGTGTTGTGAAGCAGCACAAATGACACAGAACTCAGTATCCTCCTGCTGTCCAGTGCACACTGAACTGGAGCATTCATGGTTCCCATCTTCCCCACTGTACTGGGACATCTGCACTTGACATGGCTAATTCTTTTGGCCCTTTCCTCATTCATCTGCTATGCCAAATCTGCTCAATTTCTCCCCTAAAATTTAGCAAGGTTTTTAGGTAAGGTAAATTTTAGCCAGCAGTCAATAAAATGAAACTGAATAAACTAGAAAAGAAACTGGAAGTTTTAGAAATGCCTGCAAAACATGTTTGTAAACCTCGAGACTGACTCTGCATGAAGACAGGGAGTTACCTAAAATAAAAAATGAAAGATTCCATGAGCTAGGTAGTAACGGGGGAGTTCTCGGACATTAATAACAATGTGAACTTATTTTTACTTCTTAAAATATGCTGATTTCTAAGATGGTTCACAATGTTTTGTTATAAGGATCCCATTTTAGTATTTAAAAAAAGCTCTCACTACTCCCCTCCCACATAAGTTACATTTTTCATATCTGCTAATTCAGAAAACACCAATACATTAAATACATCTATTCAAGATACCCTTATGGCTACTCCAAGGCCTAGCAGGGGTATGAAGCTTACCTTCAGAAACAACTGGCTATCAATAATTTTCTGCTATTTACTATGTGATCATGCAGAGAATTTGAGAAAAGACATTTGTGGAAGTTTTTTGGGGGGAAAAAAAACCTATAGAAAGGCCCCAGTTGCGGTCCCATCCTCGACCCTGCATTCTGTGCTCTCATTACCAGTGGAGGCTGAAGAAGAACTTGTGATCACAAGGAAAGCCCAATCATCTGTCCTCCTGATCAGGCTGTGACACACTTCACCCCTCCAGGGACAAGTCAGAACTGCACATTTGCTAACAAGGCTTATAATTTATTCACATAAGGAAATTTCATTCATGTGGTAAAGATTCAGAAGACTCCTAATGGTATACAGTAAAAGTTCCCCACCCCCACCGGCACTTTTGAACCCGTGCCACTCACTTCCCCCATCTCAGAGGTGATCACACCTCGCTTCTGCATGATGTGCTGAAACTTGTTGGTTACTTTCAATGTTGTATATGGAAGAGAATTCCACTGCACTCATGTAGTAGTGCCTCATCCCATTCTATGGCTCCCAAGTTGATGAGAAGGGAAGGGAAGGAGAATAATAGAAAAGCTTACCTCTGTCCAAGCTTAGTCCCTGCTCTCTTCCAGCAGAACCAGAGGGAGGGAAAACTACAAGTACTTCCTAGGAAATGAGTACTGCACTGTAAATAAGTTATTTTCACTGTCCCAATCATCTTGTAAATTAGGTACAACTGTTCACTGCACAGATGAGGAAGCTAAGGCTTACGGAGACTGGGTGACCCATACACAGTCACATGATAGTAGTGGATTCATTCATTAATGCAACAAACATTTATCGAACAGCTACCAAGCACTAAGTGTTGCTCTAGACTCTGGAGACACAGCAGGAAACAGGCAGAAAACCCTGAACTCATACTGTTGACATTCTAGAGGAGGGAAATTTTTTTTTAATTTTTTAATTTTTTTATTATTATTTTTTTAATCATTGTTCATATACAGTTTTCTCCTTTTTACTCCCAATCCAGTCCACCCTCCCACCCTCCCCACTTCCCTCCCATTACCACCCTCCCCTTAGTCTATGACCTTGTGTCCTTTAAGTTTCTTCCTGTGAACCCTTCCCACTGTCTCCTTAAACTCCCTCTTCTCTCCCCTCCGGTCACCATCAGCCTGTCCTCTATTTCAGTGTCTTTGGTTACAATTTGCTTGTTTCTTTGTTTTGTTATTTAGGTTCCTGATAAAGGTGAGATCATATGGTATTTGTCTTTCACTGCCTGGCTTGTTTCGCTTAGCATAATATTTTCCAGCTCCATCCACGCTGTTGCAAAGGGTAGGAGCTCCTTCTTTCTTTCTGATGCATGGAATTCCATTGTGTAAATGTACCATAGTTTTTTGATCCATTCATTTACTGATGGGCATCTTGGTTGCTTCCAGCATCTAGCTATTGTAAATTGTGCTGCTATGAACATTGGGATGCATAGGTTCTTTTGAATTGGTGTTTTAGTATTCTTAGGAAGGAGTCCCAGCAGTGGAATTGCAGGGTCAAAAGGCAGATCCATTTTTAGTTTTCTGAGGAAGTTCTATACTGCTTTCCATAGTGGTTGTACCAG